CAATTTACCGTCTACTACAATCGAAACTTAAGGTTTATATCCCAGCTCAATAGTTTTGTTTGATAACTAGGTACATAGTATTTTATTTAAAAAAACCCCATTAACCGTACTTATGTGAAAAACGTAAGTAGACAACAAAATTATAATGAACTACTTCAATTAATTCTTGTTTTAGGAAAATACCCTAAATCCAATAAAATAGTTATGGTCATATTGTAACGTCATTTAATTAATTGATGACGTGATGAATATATGAGGTAAGCCAGAGGCGTAACTACACCCTTCAGGCCCGTGACAAATTCATCGGATGGGCCCCCTGTTCCCAATAAAATACAGAGAATTACCCTCCCCTTCCCCATTCCCCCCAATCGATGAATCCCCAACGATCCTCAAACTCCTAATCTCCAAAAGGCCGGTAACACACTTGTGACGCCTCTGGTGTTCCAGGTGTACATGGGCGACGCCGATTGCTTACCATCAGGTGATCCATCTGCTCGTTTACCGGCTTATGCCATAAAAAAAGAGAGATGGAAACGTCTGAATGGGAGCCACTTCCAGCTGGGGTTCATAACATTTTGTCGACTTGCCACCCAGTAGTTACGCCACTGAAGGTAACCCTTTGTTAGATTAGTAATTTAGTAGCGCATGCACATCAAGCTATCCGTCTTTAATAGGTTTTCGACATTATTTCAAAATAAAAAATAAACATAACATAACATCACGCCTTTTATTCCACATTATACCACTGTACAATGTAACAGCCACTTTTCACTATTTATGTTATGAGTCTCATGTAATAGGGAGTGAGCCTATTGCCATATACCGTTCCAGACTCCTTGCTGAGATTTAAAAAAAACCAGTAATAAAGTTGAAAATGTTTAACAAATGAGGGTAAGTTGACCTGCATTAAAGCATTGATTATTACTTATTATTGAATTAATGCTATATAATGACATTACCCAAAAATCACAACGAAATTGAATGAAAAATGATCGAGTACCTATTTGATTTTTTTTTATATGTGCAATGAAATCAAGAACCTGATGATGATATCTCGCTATCTCGCTCATATTCATGCACATTTTGTATGATGACGTCATACCTAGTGTATACCGTATGTCCCATTTAGTTTCCTCGATGATATGATATCGATTTTTTTGTGTATTCGATTTTTTTTTCATTACACGTTATGTGTAATATTAATTTTTATCAAAACTTAATTAAGTAGTTCACTTCCGTAGTTCTATGACAACCCCTTACAATAACGTTCGATCCAGGAAAAACATAACAATGCATTTATTTATTTATATTTATGAATGATTAATGCAGTAAATAAAGTTGTATTGTATATAAAGGTAGACTTACGCGGTAGGCATTATATTTAATGTACGGTCTTGTCCTCCAAGAGGCAGTGCACGAAGCCGGCCAACGCGATCTGGTCGCATCACTATCACATATTTATTCTAAATTTAAAACAAACTTTATTCGAACAAATTTATTTATTTAAACAAAATTGAAGTGATGACAGTGTATTAAAAGTTTTAAATTTATTTAATTTATTTTTTAAAGTGTTTATTTATCGACGAAAAAATGTGGAAAAGTTTGGTGTTTTTTGTGTCCGCTTTAATTTGGAGTTTCGTGTGTAAGTATTTGTGATTTTTTTTAATATACAAGCAAACTTCGTCTTTAAAACATAGTGTTAAAGGTTAGGTTATATTTGTGTTGAAAACTTTACGAGTTTCGAACTAATGATCTCATCAAACAATTCGTGTGCAGTTGCGATTAAGCTAACTGATCGGGTCACGTTGTTTTCTGATTTTAAAACGTGATACTTGATAGAAAATGTACTTTATTACTACATACGTAGATTCTCAGATGGATTGATTACACATAATGAACTATGCTTAGAACAACAAAGTAATGAATGGAGAATCAAAGTTAACAAAACATTGTTAATGATAACGCGGAAGCATAGGTGTGTGTCGCGACCGGGTTTTTCTAATAACCTCCAAGAAACTAGTTTTTAAAGTTTTCTAAGGTTACTGCCATGATATAACATGTTAACTATACTAAGTTTTATCTGTTATATACGCGTAAATAAACCACGCTAAAACAATTACTCAAGAACCAAAATGGAGTAGGTACCTACAATACATTTTTTTCCAAAAAATCCTGAATATAGGAACATAAATTTTTGTTTAGTTTAGTTTTTTTAAAGATGATGCTAATATTTTTGCATTAATATGGTTTCGAAATTAAATAAATTGAAATAAAAAAAACGCATAATACGGACTATAGTATTCTGTCTATTCGACTTTAAGAAAGGCAAAAGTGTAGCTTGGATAGGTGTCATTCAAATCAAACTACAAACGTTATGTAATAGATGCAAGTAATTATTATTAGAGGTTACACAATATTATTTTTAATGAACAAACATTAAAAATAATAATGTCCTTTACAATAACATACCGCCGAATACCATAAAGTAAGAAAAAACAAAAAAGTAGGTACCTACAATTTGTAGGCTAAGTATAAACAGGTCGACCATTGGACGACCTTAACTCGTCGAGTACCGGTTTTATACCTCTAGACACAATTATAAAACAATAGGTTGCGGTCACCGGTGACCGCTTGGTGTTTGACAGTTTAAGCATTCTTAGTGTCGCGGAGAACCTAACGGGTAACCGGGGCTCCGGCTCGACGTGCAGGAGAAGGAACGGGGTGGTTTTTAGTCAGTAAGAATCTGACACTCCCTCCCGCCTCACCCAGGCGGGAGAAGTCATTCGATGATTTTCCCCCCTTAAAAAAAAAGCATGTTTAGTCGACTTCCCAAAAAAGAGGAGATTCTCAATTCGTCTGTATGTTTGTTTAGATTAATATAAAAATATTTATGAACTACATAGAATGTACTGAAAATTACTGTATATTTAAATCAGTATGTCTCACGATAGTTATTATAAAAATATACATAGGTACATAGAATGTGTTATAAAATCGTTTTTGACCTAAAAAACTAATTACAATTAAATATGTAAATTATGTTTTGTACTGAAAATACCGTAACTCCCACGTAATGTGGGTTTTGTTTATGTTTAAAAAATATCATAAACTATATAATATAGAATACAATGAGACTAACGGGAATATGTAAAGTTTTTACGTGAATTTAGGTACTCATGGTACTGTAAAAAGATGCAATTTACAACAACAAAATTGATTCGACAAATAAAAAGACAGCTTTGGAAAAAAAAATCATTAAATGTAATAATGTAAATACAATACAAACAATAATATCTCGAGTCTTTCACACGCCGAAGGGGTAAGAAAAAAAGAACGTCATGAAATGTATTCGATACCCACTTTTTGGCGAGTTTTAGCAAAATGCATCAACTGATTGTTAAGGAGGCGGGTGATTCTCCAAAAAAAAACCAAAAAATTAACGGCGTCATTATCCTTAAGCCACAGTTAACAATTTTGCTGATTAAAATACAAAGTTTAGTTTCAAAAAATTGAGCCGTTTCACTGCTCTCACCCAATGCAATAAAAAAACAGATGCTAATAATAAGTTACTGCGATGCTTAACAACGCGGGAGGATAATGATTTGTTAAATAAAAGTTAAAGTTTTTTGAAGAAACACCCAGGCCATACACGCTAGGTTTTGCATGATGGTTTTAGCCGTGCATGCATAACCGACAGGCAAGCCCTAGCGTGCATGCGATTAAACTGTACAGTTATCGATGCATGCACAACTCGGTTATGCTTGTCGGTTTTGCATGCAAAGTTATAACCATCATGCAGAACCTAGCGTGTATGGCCTCCTTTATAGATCGTTCGGTGTGTTTTGATATCTGTCATGCAATTCGAAATACCTTAAATTTACGACATTCTTAATTTCTGGACGCTTTGTAAATGATCAGGTAAACGTTTGTTGTTCCCTGTGAAAATAAAAATTAGACATATTGTATTCTCACAAAGAAAACATAAATTAGATTAATTACATTATTAGTTTGAGTACGTCTATTAATTTTATCTATAGGAAGTCCCTAGGTAACAAATAAGTACTATACCTAAGTTGAATTGTTCACATTTTCCAGGAATAAACGCATTAATAAATACTATAAACATTTGTGCTCAGATTGTCCAAAAGGAATGACAGAATAGGGAAAACCTTGCATTATGTGATCACGTTCCAAAATAAAAAAATCTTAGAAATAACATCCTTATATATATGTAAATAATGTTTAGATACTTAGTATAGACTATAATGGATGATGCTATGGTAATTAAAACAAATATTCACATAACAGAACAGAATATTTTGTAAATAAATAGCTACTTCCGCGCGGTTCCACACGCTCTGCTCAGCTCCTATTGGTCGAAGCGTTATGTTTTATAGCATATAGCCATCCTCGATAAATGCACTATCTAAGACAAAAAGAATTATTCAAATCAGACTTGTAGTTACGGAGATTAGCGCGTTCAAACAAACAAACAAACAAAAAAACAAACTCTTCCGCTTTGTATAATAGTATGAGATATAACATGTCATTAAGGCAGCAACGTCAAGTCGAGGACGTCACACAGCATATTGAGAAACTCAAGTAGTAGGGCTGGTCACGTCGCACGCAAACAAGGTTCGTGATGCAAAACCGTGATAGAGTGGAGACCGTGGAGCGAAAACTGCCCACAAGGAAGACCTTAGATGTGTTGGTATGGTGACATCAAACGAACAGCTGGCACGAAATGAATAGAAATAGTAACCAAAGAGATGGTAGAAACTGAAGGAGGTCCTAAGGGTAGAAAAAGGCTAAAGAAGAAGAAGAAGAAAGAAGATAACATGTCAATAGACAGTTTTAATGATTGAGTCATAGTTAATGCAACTGCAATACAACTAAGCACACTGACCAGCACTACCCTTATCACTCAAAGATTTTCATTCAATTTTCGACTTCATATCAAAACTATACAGTTGCTGTTGTCTGTACTATAATCCCAAGTTCGATTGGTCTGTCAAAGTTTCGATTGGCCTGTCTGTATGGTTTGTTGGTAAAATTTCGATTGAGAAAGTTATTTTTAGACTGAAGTATAGTTGTAGAAGATTTAAATCATGACCTTTATATGTGAGACGTGGTAAGTTTGAAATGTTTCCAGTAGGTATCTTCAATTCAAAATACTATGTTTATATCAAGATCTAGCTTTGCACTCTTCACACGAGTATGGCTTCGAATCACTATCTATTAAAAAATCTGCATCAAAATCCGTTGTATAGTTTCAAAGATCAAAGCATACATAGGTACAGACAGCAGAATGTGACTTTGTTTTATAGGATAACTTCTGAATGTTAATAATGCTAGAGGGTGCGTTTGTCGCATTTGAACATTTAAAATGACTATTAATGACACTTTATGGCACTGGAGTAAACTAAAAACTTCATTGACAAGACAATCATGATCGAACGTACAAGTAGCCAGTAGATAAACTGACTCTAATCTGTAAAATTTATTCACTGGATGTTCGACTTCATGTCAATACAATAAAGTTGAAGATGTGATTGAGAAGGCAGAAAAGGATTGGTTGACTCGCTGGCCATCGTACTAAACAATTAGTAACACATTGGTATCAGGGACTTAAGTTAAACCAGTTTTCTTTACGTCAATAACCTGTCTTGAAATGTCTACGTCAGATATTTTTTGCACTATACATAGCGAACCAGTGGTCTTTATCTATTGCAGTTTTTTTACTCCAAAACCTGTTGCTAAAGGTACAATCAATATTTTTAATCGTTTTGTTTATTTTGGAGATTTTTTGGTCTCTCATGTTTTGTGTTGATCTTATTGATTTTCCTTAAATCCGTTTTGCTATTGACTTCTAATGTTATATCTGCACATCTTTATTTTTTTACCTGGAAACCAAATCCTTGTGCTGATTGTACATAACTGACGAAGAATGTATAAGATAAGATATCTGCGTAGGATAAATATTGGTATAATGTTATTTTCTGTGGGATTAAACCACGGTTCCTTGATTTATCCACCATTTTAGTCATTTGTTTATTAAGTCCTGTAATTTAGTTGTGTAACTTATGGTATTTTATTAAATGCTTTCAAAACGTGTCTCCGTATCTCCTTTTTGGCTACAGGCCTTAGGTGTTCACTTGTAGCATCTTCGGCATTTCTAGAATCTTTCATTGAGTGCCAAATGCGGATCAAATCAAATCAAACCTCAATCTTCAAGGTCCGAGTGAATAGGTTGCTTATGCGACGACGTGCTCCATCGTAGACCGCATAATGGCTTACCACCAGATAGTGTTTTTTGTCCAAAATTCTTAATGACACCTAACTTAAAATCTGATTTGTTCATTTTTAGTCCATAACGCTCACATTTCAAAATTTGCATATGTTTTCCTGAGACCAAACAATCTTGACAATTTCTCACATGGGATTCCCAAGAAGTAGCAAAGCACGTGTAAACGATAATAATGCTTATGATGACATGCGATAAGGAATATAAATAAATAACATAAGTACATAATATTATTATTTACTAGATATTGGTAAAGTAATGGATAAGCTAAGTAGTTAGTTTATCTTTACATACATGCATATTGGTATACTTAGGTATCGAGACACTCACATCAACGATTTTTTTTTCGTCTCTGGGTTAAAACCTTCTGGAGCCTTTGCTTGAGATAGTGGAAGAGTTTGTCAGAAATCATTTAAATCATTTACTTTTATCCAGTTATATGGTTTTATCATTATTATGTGTCCTACATTATAAATGTGATAGGATAGGGTTAGTCCTCTTGCATATACCTGATATAATTTTGTCTATGCTATCACCAAAAACATTTTTGTAGTTAAAAAACATAACATAACATCACGCCTTTTATCCCCGAAGGGGTAGGCAGAGGTGTACATTATGCCACTGTACAATGTAACATCCACTTTTCACTATTTTTATGTTACGAGTCCCATGTAATAGGGGGTGAGCCTATTACCGGGCACAATTCCAGACTCCGTGCTACTACTGAATTTTTTTTAAAAACCCAGTAATACTTTGCCCTACCCGAGAATCGAACCCGAAATCCCTTGCCCGGCAGTCGCACTTGCGACCACTCGGCCAACGAGGTTGTAAAAAAAAATAAAAAATTCCGACACATAAACTTGAACTAACTTCGATGACCAAAGACGTCGCACTCACGGTCACTCAACTAATGAGAGTCTGACCATAACATTCTAGTCTAATATTAATAGTAAACAAAATGTAAATTGTAAACTTGAATTATTGTAAACTTTGATCATCCATTTGTAAGATGTAATTATGTATTAAGATAAAATATCCACAGCACACATTTCCTTATGACGTTCTGACACAGAGGTTATCTTTGATCGAAGTAATTACTCGATGAGCAAATTAGTAATAATTTATTACTTATGCATCACTTCTGTTCATACCTGTTATTCCCCGAACGGATATAGGCAGAGGTATTAGAATTAGGAGATATTAGAAGTGTTGGTTAATGGTTACTTTTAGGCAGTTTACCAATTTAACAAAATAAAGTTTATTACAATCAAAATTATAATTCTTGGTCTCTGTTCACGTACATTTTCATAAAAAGGTTCAAAGTTTTTATTCCACGTTGAAAAACATCGTTTTCTTTGCAATTAACTTTTACTGTGCTATTTGTATATAAACGAATAATATCCGAAACAAAATTATTATAATTACTAATCTAAACATTTCTTCTTCAACAGCATCACAAGACTGCACAACTCCAACTGGCAGCCGGAGTAATTGCGTCTCTCTCTACCAGTGTCAGCCTCTTTACAATGCCTTTGAACAGCGTCCACTGCCCACCCACGTGGTCAGCTACCTGAGGAGATCACAATGTGGCTTTGAAGGTTATGTACCCAGGGTGTGCTGCGGTCCTCTACCAGAAGAGCAGGAAGCTACATCAGCGAGACCTACGGTAAGATATTATTGTTTTAAGAGTTCTGACTTCATCCTCGAATGGGACGAAGTCAGTAGATAAAGTTTAATGAAATTCAGTAGACTACGTTAAGAATTTATTCCAAGTTCTCAATACTTTAACACACCATTTACAAATCCCATAAGTCTCTCAACCATCAAATGTTTAAATCCAATGAGTCTTTATACAACCTTCGAGAAAAGCACCTTTTTATTCCACGAACTTCTTCATAGCCGTTACGTCTAGAGCCTACCTCCGACTACTACTGGACATGTGCCTCTTTTATCACTATAAAAGGAAATGAGCCTATAATCTTAATAGGCTGGTTGACCGTTACCTTAAAGGGTATTGACAACAGCCGTTAATCTTGTTGCAATGACCTACGGAACCGGAATAAGTACTATGTTTAGATATAAATTAGAAATTGTAGCTACAAACTACAAGGCTATCACAACCGTTATTTAATCTCTGATGAAGTACACAGAGGTGCATATTTTTAAATTTAATAGTTAAGTTTTCATTAGGTATGTTATGAGCTCCATATAAAAACGCCAGCCACAATTTTAGTACTATTACTCAAATCAGAAAAAAAAAACAAATCACCTGCTAATATCTTTCTAAGACCCTATAATCATAATTTCAATCTCAAGCTCAACAATCGACCATCGACTACTGGTCTATATTTCTATTGTGTCTCCTAAGCATAACTAATACTCCCTTTATATAACTGAACAGCCTCGGCCAACCCAGGCTCCAACGCAAGGTAGCAGCGACGTGTTCCCCGAAGATTCTTCACCAGCTCCAAGAAACCAGTGTGGAATTGACACGACCGGAGACAGAGTTTATGGAGGAACCATCACAGACCTGGACGAATTCCCCTGGATGGCGCTGTTGGGTTATAGAACAAGTAAGTGCCTAAACTGAATATTTCATTTGTCTACACATTTAAACTGTCAAACACCAAGCGGTCACCGGTGACCGCAACCTATTGTTCTTTAATTGTGTCTATAATAACGGTGCTCGACGAGTTAAGCGATTTTATCTCAGAAAAGAAAATGTGACGAGTTAGTGAACTAGTTCAAAGTTTCATCATATTTTAGGTAACAATTCTAACTCCTTGCCAGATCGGTGAATTCTTATGTTGGGGTGAATTTATTCATCGAGAATAATTCCAAACTCCGGACTGTTATTATGTCATGAAGCAATATTGTTTGCCAATTGCAATAGGCAATTGTGATGTAGGTATAGATAGGGGATAATAATCATTAATAGACATATATTTTCATAGTTGTGTAGAGTAAAATTGCAATGCATATAGAAAATGTGAAAGCCAATTGATTTTTATCAGAGTTCTAATACAAAAATACATCTTGAAATAAATTTCCTTCAGTACGTTTAATGTATTGTTCTGTCTATCCAGAGCGAAGAATAAAAAAGGCTTGACAAAAGAAACCACGTCAATTTGTAATCTACAGAGTGTTCTCAAATTGACTGTTCAAAGCGAAATTCGCTTACGTTCAATCAAGTACGTTTTAGTAAAGAGATGAATGTCTCGTACATTGGGCATTCCCTAAAGACCCATTTAAGTAATCACGCTGTATACTTGACGGCCATGTAGATTACGGCTTTTAAATTACGATTTCTACATTGTGTTTACCTATATGCTGCGTATTTGGATAAAATTACGTTTTTGTCCGATGTTGGTTAGATAGAAACTATATAACATCATCTATTATGTGCTTTACATTTCTATAGCTTCCATCAAAGTCATTTTGTCGTCCAAAACGTCGGTTACAATAAACCCTTGGTTTTACATAGTCCCATTATCAGACATTACCTATTATTTTATAGACACTACACATCTAGTTATCCTAAATTTCTTAAACAGATTTTGACCTTAAAATTCATCCTTGTTGTACATATTGAAGTATGAGTGTGTCAGCAATGATTCATACACAATTTCCTTAAGATAATTTGCCGGAACTTCTTGATCCATTATTATTATAGTTCATCTTTAAGGACAATGAACCGAATGAGGAATATTTTTGTTCTTGACGGATAGTAAGGTATCTTGTAGTTTGTTCATAGGTATTGAAAGACACGATATCCTTTTACGATATTTGCCCATAAATATTGAGTTGAAAGAATGATAAGGTTCACTTAGTTCACCTTTCCATTTAATAAGTTCATCACCAAGACCATACTTAATTCAGTTTCTATCTTCAAGCTTGTAAGCAATGTCGCAAACATTAAGGTTTTACAAAATATATACCACCATAACATAAAAAATGTCTTCCAATTTCTTCGTTTTAAAATATTTATCGTTAACCTACGAGGTTGAGGGTCCATACAAAAGTGACCTGTACGTACTCTATGATACGCCGTGGAAGATTCCCATGCTATATTTAAAACTACGAACTGGTTTGCTAACTCAAGAAGGTAAAAAAGTAAAAAAATGTTAATGGACTTGTTTATCTGTGAGAAAATCGACCTTCTGGAATATTGAAGATACATTTTAGATTATAGAACAATACTATTGAAGGTATATGTATAAGGTAGTAATGGGTTTTGACTATGGAGTATTATGAACCTGTGTCTTTTTTACGCATGGGACTAGTCGAGACCAATGAGTCAAAAGATCGTTAATATTTGGGTGTACGATAAGTAGAGTGTGTGTGTGAGTGTTTGTGTGTTTGTGTGTGCGTGTTTCTTATAAACCTGACTGTGGAAACAGCTGTATAGGTCATTTTGAAAAGATGAATTAAGAAAAGGATCCGACTACCTAGATTCTAGCCATTGCTACCACCCCCAGAAGGTGACTTCCATCAATGGTTGTAATATGTTTGTTATCTTATAGTAGATAGATAATTACCTCTGGTCTAACTATTGTGAAAGAGTTCTTTTGAAAGTCTATCATATTGAACTTGCAGATTCGTATCACACCTTATCCCTTCCGAACAACGCTTTTGGTCTCTGAATATGTATTTTAGTTATAAGTTTTATTTGATGTTTTTTTTGTACAGAAAAGGGAACCACGTCGTACCAATGTGGCGGTGTTCTGGTCAACCATCGTTATATCCTGACAGCTGCTCACTGCATCACAGGAGCTATCGAGCAGGCCGTAGGAACTTTGTAAGTTGTTTGAATATTACTCTGTAGATATTTAAGATAAATGGTGTAGACTTCCATGAATACATGCAGTTGTAAAATTATCTAAAGGATAACATTCGTTTGGCCCTTTTCCTGAAAGTGAAAAAATGGTACGTATCGTTAGACCTAGCCATTTGGACAAATGGCGTAATAGTTAATATGGAGTATAGTAGTAGAATCCAAGACGAAGAAGTTATACCAGTTCGAAGATTTATCATTTTCATACATTTATTGCTTTCGACTGCCTCGTTGGCCGAATGGTCGTAAGTGCGACTGCCGGGCAAGGGGTCTCGGGTTCGATTCCCGGGTCGGGCAAAGTATTACTGGGTTTTTTTAATATTCTCAGTTGTAGCACGTAGACTGGAATTGTGCCCGGTATATGGCAATAGGCTCACCCCCTATTACCTACATGGGACTCATAACATAAATAGTGAAAAGTGGGTGTTATATTGTACAGTGGTATAATGTGCACCTCTGCCTACCCCTTCGGGAATAAAAGACGTGATGTTATGTTATTGCTTTCTAAAGGTGCTAGGAAACGCAAAATAATGATCAATATTGGTAGAATGAAGAATCTGAGACAATTGTGATGATAATGCGGAGAGATTTCGCAGTAGTTTTGTTTTAGTTGGAATATTTTTGCGTACATAAAAGTGCATCTTGCAAAAATCAATCCAAAGTCTTAGGATTAAGGTCGATTTTGACATTCGTTGTATGAAGTTTGTATCAAATAATTTATTCAATACAGAGACATTGGATTGACATTGTTTATAATGTCGGCCGTTAACTGTAGTATGCATAGTAGAGAGCTTAGATCTATGCGAGACACAATGCATTTACTATTGTGTCTTAAACTGTCAAACACCAAGCTGTCACCGGTGACCGCAACCTATTGTTCTATAATTGTGTCTACAAAACCGGTACTCGACGAGTTAAATACCGGCTAAAAGAGGTTAACAACGATAGTCCTTTAGTAGTAAAACTAAAACAGCTGACGACATTGTATTTTTTTTATACAAGATTCATCCATATAATACCTAACATGGAAGTATAGTCTAATTAGACATGATATTGTACACAGCAATGACGCATACCCATCAAAGTATAATTACAGTTATTTTAAAATTAATTAAACAATTTAATTACAAGTGTATCGTTGTGAGGAAAACAAATATCTACACATGTGGTAAACAATTTACGGAAAATAACAATAAATCTAAGTAAAGTAGTATATGTTTAGATAAATGCCACTTCCTTAATATAAGGGAGGGTTTTAAATACAGATATAGGCATTTGAAACTTTAAATGGATGCAATAAAGTCTATTGTATGTGTGTTCTGTTAGATCATCTATAACTCAAGAATAGCTCGACCAATTTTGATGTTACCATGACAAACGTTTAAAGAAAAATATTGATTTCTACTTGTCTACATTTTATAATAGTTTTGGTAAGGATGTAGAAACTATTTTTGTTTTTATTCTATTTGAATAAGACTCGTTTTAGTAAAGATGCCTGAACTTTAAGCACCTTGTCAAATTAACCTCTTGTCTGACGATATTTGATTCACAGTAGAAAACACATTATATATCGCATTATATTAATACATAGATTCGGAACTTCATTGCTTTTGTAATAGAATTGAAAATGTACTAACATTATGGCAAAGGAACACTTTTAAAATTTTGTTCTTTTTCAGAATCACTGTTCGTCTCGGTGAATACGACACTCAACAAGATGTGGACTGTATTGACACGGTCTGTGCTGACCGTCCTCAAGAGATTCGAGTGGCTTCTGCTTACCCCCACCCTGGATACTCTGACAAGAACAAAAACAGGCAGGATGACATCGGTATCGTGAGGTTGGCTACCAGAGCTGCTTATACATGTAAGTTTATTTCAATAGTTTAACTATTTATTTTAAATCAATGCGCTTTTTAAACGTCAAAGTGGTCTGCTAATGAAGCTGGGTAGCCGCTGTACGTTACCAAGCGTAGACTTGTGAAGAGATAACGTTTTGAATTATGACTTACTTTAATACTTATCATATCTAGTTATGTTTATAGAAAGGGATTTGGGCTAAGGCTTGTGCTTTTGGACACCTATTTTGAAGATACGGTGGTCGTTGAGTAAGTCAAGAGCAACCTGTTGCTGCGCGACCCAATACAGGCCCAATTATAGCACGAAACAGCTTTTATTGTAATTTTTGAGGAAGACAATTACAATGCTCATTACAATTTACATTATTAATCTTACAATAAATTACCTTTTATTTCCCAGACTACGTCCAGCCAATCTGTCTGATAGATAACCGAGCACGTTTGGACACCGGCAGCGATGTGTACGTCGCTGGATGGGGTAAAACCCTGAATGGTACGTACACAATTACTATCGATTTTAAACAGGTACTTTCCAATTCCCACTAATTCTACGGATTAGGTTTATAAACAAATCGGTCGGTAGTATCGGGTTTTACGTATAATTTGAACGCAAGGTCGGCTCGTATTTTCGTTGATTGTTATGACTCAGAATAATAATTATACTACGGTCTCCGAGTTGTTATGTAGTCATGTTTTGCTTGTAAAATGTTTATTTACAAGTACGTGAAGTTCTTGGAATGTATCAATATCATTAGTCTGTTTTTCCCAGGCTGAGGTTGAATCTATTAGTTCAGATTTTAGTTCCCAGTTAGAAGGTTATTTCAAACAGATGTACGAGTTAATGCCTACTAAGAATTTCCAAGTAAAAAACATGAGCTGCGTAAGAAATGTGCATTTATCCTTGTGCTTAGTAGTTATTTACGATTGTGATGATTAACAAATTTTTAGGTAGATTAGATTTATGAATGCTTTGTACTCACACTCAAAAATAGTTGAACGCAATTAGGTTCCTAAATAGATAACATCTTGAAATAACATCATTAAACTGTGAAACACCAAGCGGTCACCGGTGACCGCAACCTATTGTTCTATAAATGTGTCTATAATGACGGTACTCGACGAGTTAAAGATGAATTTTATCAAATGAACAAGCAGTATTACAGCAATGTATTTGTGCAATTAGTTAGTTTATCATCTAACAGATACTTTTTTACAATAAACTGTAAAACCTATCTGCCCTTAGGTACTCCTTTTCTAACAATTCTTTACAGGAAAATACACCTAGTTTGTAGTCCAGTTAGGTGCAAAATATTTATAGCATTTTCTTATCAATCACGTGTATCAATAGTTCCTAGGTCAGATACTTGCATTGTATAAATAATTCATTAATTGATGATCTGCTTGTGTTAGGAATTCGTTGCGGTTTACCAACGGAAGCATGTTTCTTTGCATTTTAAGTGGAAGAAGGAAACTAATTTAAACATTATAGAGTGTTAGGTTCTATGAATGAATGACGTAATTAATGCCCTGATGGTGTATAGATATACAAATTCTAATTACATGCTTATAAGAAACAGCCCAGCGTTGCAAGAAAAATGCCTTTGAAAAAATGTGCATACAAGTTTCTTTTTAAGTTATCTTTTGTCTAAAAGTTCAAAGCATACTTTGACTATAAATATCTTAAACTAATTATGGTGTTAACGTGTTTGTCAATGTTAGATTAACCAATATTGATACTTCTTACACAGTTTTTCTAAGACGTAACACACCTGACGTCAATTTGTTCAAATTTACCTTGGCATCTCTTTAGGTACATACATAGTTCAATATTATTATTTAGCACAGTGACTAACAAACAAGGGAATTCCAACTTTAACTCGAGGTTCGAATTTAAAGCCTATCGCTTGATATTAGGATTTACAACCAATCGACAGACATTGTAAAGCGAATCATTAATAAAATCACATCCGTTTATTTACAGGTCGCAACAGCCCCATAAAACTGAAGCTTAATCTCCCAATATTCAACAAACAAGAATGTGACGATAAATACAGAGGTCTTGGTGCTATTCTTAGTGATAACCAGATCTGTGCTGGAGGAGTATTCGCAGAGGATGCGTGCAGAGGAGACTCCGGTGGCCCTCTGATGAAGAAGACTCCGAATGGAATCTGGGAGGTTGTCGGTGTCGTGTCCTTCGGTTATGGCTGCGGTAGAGACGGCTGGCCAGGAGTTTATACCTCGGTGGCTAGATACATAGACTGGATCCAAAACACTATTGCATCGTCCAATGTCTAATGCCATTATTACTAGTCTATCTTGGATGCTCCGAAACTCCAATTCTCACTCAACAGTTTCGGACCCATCCAATGTTCTTGTGTCATGTGATGTAATACGTTTTTAATTTTAGTCAAATACAATTTTTATAAGGAAACTGCCTTTTTTTGGGAACGTAACCATCAATTATGTTTTTTTGTGGAAAGATATGGTTGTAAAGTTGAATCTATGTGTGACGTCAATCCCACACCGAACGTGCTGGAACCAATTAAAACTTTTCCATTAACTTTGACCAAAAAATGTAAAAAACTCATTCTGGCGGGTAGACGAGCGAAATAGTTTTATTTTTTTATTATAATACCGTGGCAATTTGATGCATTTCTAATGTTTCTGTCACTTTCTCCAATTAAGCCGCGCTCCGTGTGGGTTCACCGCAATAGTTCAATGATATCGGCTTTGAACTTGTGACCCTGATCGGTATAACGTCATTGCTAGAAAACAGCGATTATTAGATACTATTCTAGCGACTGTTTAAGTTTTGATATTGCCTTTGGTTTGTTTTAAGAATAAAAAAGTGTATTATGTTAGAGGATAACTTTGTTTGACTTGTTTACAGCTAAAATATTACTGAACTAATATTAAAACGTCTGTATTAAGTCAGAAAGTACAAAATGTAGACATCTTTTTCGAATTTTAGTCAGTTTGTGAAAAATCTATAATCCGTACAATACAGTAAAATAACAGTAACCTTTGGGTGCCTGATCACGCCGTATAAGTAACTTAAATACATTTAAATGTTTTACCCAAAATAGAAGGGGTCCAAAAGTCATCGAGGAGTCCCCAAACATTTTGGAACAAAGATATTCAATTAGTCGTAACGTATCATTTGCATATAGGTGTCGCTAGCTATCAAATTAAGTGGCGCGCTGACACTTTGGCTCGCATAATTAAATCATTTACCCTTTACAAAGTTATGCGCTCCTGGTACCCGAAGGGTAGTATGTAAATTTTTTGGAGACGATAAAATCGATTTTTATTCTTGTTTAAATATGTGGTTAAGATTAATAAAAAACTGCCCTTATTGGTAGCAAGTGCAACTGGTGCTGAGCAAAGGGTTTTGAGCTCGATTATAGGGATTTTTCAGTAATGTCTCGAATCGTGCCCAGTGATTTCTTTTACACGGGGTGTATAAAAACTATAATATAAATATGCGATTGAATAGTTTTAAAAGCAGAATTTAATAACTAAAAACCTATAAACAACATTTATACAATTCATGACGTGGGTCACATTGTATTGACTTTGATGGATCGATGACCTTCACGGCAAAAAACCGGTTAGACGATATTACCTGTAACTACATACTTATACTTATACATTTGTGCATAGTCTAGCATCGTATTGAAATAAAAAATAATGCAGTTTTTTATTGTAACTGGACGGTGTTGTCACGGTAATATATTGTGATAATATCACGGGCTACGTTCCTTAAGGACTCGAACACAAAACTGCGATGCGTCGACGCATCGCAAAAATGTGCGAGCTCCCTCTATGCAAGAACTTGTGAATTGATTCGCATCGCGCATCAAAATTTTATCTTCCCAAAATCTTCTTTGTTGCTTTTTCCTGTATCTCCTAAGCAATAACAGGAGTGCATACTTCTTTTTACGATCCACGTCATGACCTAGTTTTCAATTTAAAAAACGTTTAGTACGGTTGACGGTCGTCGAAGGTATAGTCGCACTGGGAAGACGGCTTATTGCACGACATCGCATCGTAGCAATTTGCAGTTTTGTTTCCGAGTCCTAAGATCTAACTCGTATTAACGGTACAGTCGACCTGTACAGTTAAACTGCCCATACAGCCAGGGCCGTCTTAGACTACGCTCCCTTGCGAACAGCAATTCGGGGTACTTTTGGAATGTTTCTCTTTTTGTGCATATTCACTAGAATTTTCTTCTCTATCGTGGTTACATTTACAAACATACAAGTTCATATATACAAGGCACAAAACAAAATCTGTGGATCACACAAAGATTTGATCCGTACGGGAATGAGACCCGCTGCACGGGCACCAAGCGAATTTGTCAGTTCTTTGGGGCCCCCTGAGTATGGGGGCCCTGAGCACGGGCCCCGAGTGCTCTTATGGTCTAGACGATACTGCATACAGTTTACACACCCTCAAGTAAAACTTTTTTAGGTTACAGTTTTTATGTGGTTCTTTGAACACAGAATAAAAACACATATTAATTACTCGAATGCTCGGTTATCGATATAATATGAACTGCCTCGTTTGCCGAGTGGTGGCAGGTGGGACTGCCGGGCAAGGGTCTCGGGTTTGGGCTCGCTGTCATTGCAGCGGTAAGTTCCCTCTTTAAGGAGTAGCTTGAGAGACGCTACGGCGTCCTAACTTACCGCCTGACACAGGTGCTTACCGGACACGGAAGTTTCGGTACTGTTTCGGATTGGAGGAAACCCCCGAGTGTCATCGCTGCGGGGACCGCCCGGAGGACACGGTGGAGCATACGATGGCGGTGCCCTGCGAGGGCTGAGCACCGCCGCGTCCTCAGGGAAGTGATCGGCGACAGCGACCTCTCGCGTCCGGCTCTAGTTCAGACTATGGTACGTTAGAAAATAAAGTTTCAAAAAAACATCATTAGATGTAATCAATTTCACGACATAGAGAATTCGATCGTAACACGACGGTCATAAAAGTTATATTGCAAAACACCTTCAGATTGATGATGTCACCCCAATTATTTTTTTGTGTTTTACTTCAATAAATGATTAATAGTAGTTTTGTATGCATATCAACAATTTACCGATGGTCAAGTAAATTTGCATACGGATCTGTCAATGGGATTTCCATAGCTTGTACTTGATTTAGAACAATAAATGATTTTTCTCACGATTCGATGAATAGTATCGACTAGTAGATTGATGTAATGGGATTGTGACAAACTACAGTATATACAGGTTTATTATGTTTTAACAAGTGAAGTAATTCTTAGTTTCTTTTAGTTAAGATCATCACGGGAAAGGACGAGTTTACTTAGTTATTCCTACCAAAAAAGCAGTAACAATAATGTTAAAAATCTCTATAAACCAGTTCCATGAATTATTCGAATAATGGTTAAGAAATATTCGGAAAACTGAAACAATGAACCCATATATTACTTTCGTAAGTTTATATGCGTGTCAATAATTCTATATATATAAATGAATCCTTTTTTCCGTTGGTTACGGCATCACGCGTAAATGGCTGGAGAGATTTCATTAATTCTTTTATTTTTGTATTTGTTATTATTAGGAGAAGGTTCTTAAGACATAATAAATCCTAAAGATTCTTCGGGAACGGTAAAAAAAGGGATTCGCGGGCAGAAGTTAGTGTTTTATATTTTAGTGAAAATAAATAAAAATATATTTCTAACACACACATGTAACAGGAAGGAATGATTCATTTTCGCTCGAAACGATCCCAGCGGGATTTCGCAAGCGTACATCTCGCGTGAAAACTGAATGCTTAGGAAAAATATACACATTGCATGCTTCTCGAGCGTAACAATATATCGTGTGTTATAAGCGGAGTAAATAGATTGTTTGTTGAGAACTTTTTTGAATGGAATAGGAGGCAAACGAGCGGACAGATCACCTGATGGTTAGCAATCAACGCCGCCCATGGACACCCGCAATACCAGAGTTTGTAATCCTATTTAGGTTTTGAACTGAATAAAAGCTTGCCACCTTTTATTTTGATCTCTTAACATAATGGAACGACAAGTCAAGAATATAACAGGTTTCCTTATGCGAAACGTTATACAGTAGAATTCCTTGTCAGAGCTGTGCTTCCAGAAGGGTATGGCCAGGGTAAAACATGGGTGTCTTCAAGTCATAGTTAATAAGTTGCTTAAGGTAGGATTGCTGTATCGTTAGCCTCATCGCTTACAAGATAGTGGCCAAATGCTGACATAATCTATTGATAACCTAACTTATAAATATTAGTAGGACGTGAGAGTTTGTACATTTCTTAACCGACTTCCCAAAAAGGAGGAGGTTCTCAATTCGACCGTTTTGTTACTCCTTCACGTCAAAACGGCTGAAGGGATCGGGATAAAATTTGAAACAGAGGTAGATGTATGGGAACGCAGGCGAAACCAGTTAAGTATAAAAAAATAATAATAACCGTCATCTTTGCTTGACTTTTTTATCATATAGCAAGCAAAGTATCAGACTCTGCTTGATCCGGTTCAACAGTCACGTTTGAGACCACACAAACATTTTAGACATGACTTTACTAAACTTATTTTTTTTATGGCACAAGCCGGTAAACGAGCAGACGGATCACCTGATGGTAAGCAATCGACGTCGCCCATGGACACCTGGAACACCAGAGGCGTTACAAGTGCGTTACCGGCTTTTTGGGGATTAGGAGTTGAGGATCGTTGGAGATTCAGGAATTGAGGAGATTGGGGAAGGGGAGGGTAATTGGGCCTCCGGTAACCTCACTCACACGACGAAACACAACGCAAGCTTTGCTTCACGTCGGTCACTCCGGTCGAGCCGGCCGATTCGTGCCGAAGCATGGCTCTTCCACACTTATTTGTTCCGAAACCTACCATCTATGTAAATATAATCACTCTCAGATACTCCGATAAATAATTCCAATAACACACAAGAGTTTTCCTCCAACAACAATGATAGGAACAAAAAAAACACAAAACTTATATGAAAATAAGTTATAAATCAAAACTGTGAATACATTCATTTATTTCTCGGTTAGATAACAAACACGCGGAGGGGAAACTGCAATCGGAAAATAAAAATTACGACAGTTTAAAAGTAGGCGCCATTTACATAAAACTACTATATTGGAAATGATATACTATGTGTAGTCCACCCCATTTGTTCTTCTCATGAAATATAAATGTGTTTTGGATAACTATGGGTGGCTATGTGTACTTTAAAAAACATACTAGAATTTCCTCTTCCATTGTATCTGAGCCTGTATCGTGAAATGTTGGGTTATGTTCATTTTAGGCTGATTTTAGTCTTACGCTGACCGACTGCCTCATTGGCCGAGTGGTCGCAAGTGTGACTGCCAGGCTAGGGGTCTCGGGTTCAATTCCCGGGTCGGGCAAAGTACTACTGGGTTTTTAAA